ATACACGAATATTTCACTGTTAATAAATTACAGATAGGAAGAAATATTTCCACCAATAAAAAATAATGTAAAACCATGGAGGTCCATAATAAAACTAAGATAAATTAAGAGGAAGACAATGCGTAAAACAATATGTTTTCTTCGAATGGCCTTTTACAGCCTCGTTTTGGAAGATATACTCTGGGTTGTAAGTTCTCGCATATGGCAACGTGCACATGGTTACAGCGTGAGAATCCTTCAGCTTTCTACATGGTTATTTAAAACAGCGAATTTTACGTAAATCCGACGAGTGTCGATCCTAGTTATAGCCATAAACCGCATCAAGAACAGGACGTTAGGTAAGATTGCCTGTAAAATGCTACGACTTTTCCCATGTTTCTCGACCCGGAAGTAGTTTTTTTGTATGCAGTTTGTGTTTTCAGCAAGGAGCGTTTGTGTAAAACATTATCTCAAAGCGAACGATATTGCCCGAACGATAACATATGCTTGCTAAGTGGCAGCTGGTTGTCTATTTTCGAAAGTAATTTGTAAACTTAACATTACGTAGTGTTAATAACATCGGCAACGGCTGGGTAGGATATATTTATTCCACGTTCAGCTGGCGTCTAGGGATAGTAAATCCGATTAATACTTACAATCATACATACATGTATGTACTTACTCGTATACTAGTATGTACTATCGGGGTAGCCTTCTGGTTGGCTGCCCCATATAAGTAATGTTCACGCTACACGAAGTACGGGCTAAGATTTAAGGTAATCTCGTATGTTTGCATATTGTTTATACCCAAGGGAAACAGTGATTAGCACGGGCTAAAACGCTCAAACTTGTTACGAATATAACAAGTCTTCAGTCATCTTAAAGGCCCAGGTATACTAGTACTATAAATACACTTCTAAACAAAACAGCTAGTAGTAAACAGCTTCAGCCAAGCTCCTGTAAAAACGCGTTTTCTCGAACTTATAGGTCGATTATGTCGTGCCAAAGTGGATGTATTTGACTCTGAATATCACAGCAGTGACTGTGTGTAGTATTTATGACAATAAATAGTGTACATGTATGAGTTGAGATTTTGGCGGATAAAAGTAAAAAACATGATCAAGGGAAAGGGACGCGCTACTAAGCTTGAATAATTAACTGCTGTCAATCAATGTCGTGTGATTTTGAACCGCTGAAACAGGATGCGTCATCTAATCTCCACAAACATACGAGTACAAGCCAGAAATATCCCTAGTT